CTGAATAAATAGCTCCCACTGCCGCATTTTAATGTCCGTAGTCGTTTCAACCCTTTAAATACAACACTCCAACGGTTTAAAACGCGAAATGTATTAGTTTAAGTTGTTTACGAATAATTTACAGTTATTGACTTATTTTGGCTTCGGATATACGGAAATCCACAGACTAACATCGAAAAGCGACTAAGCCTGACATCACCTGTCGACTTGTTTCGTGACCCGACCCCAATTTCGGTTTCAATCACCCATTTAATATAAGATAGTTTTTCAAAGAGTAACATGTTTTAGAAAAAACAAACATTGTGATATTGAGAAGCATGTCGAACCTCGTGGGAATTGAACTCAAAATCATTTAGACCACAAAATCGGCAAAATATGATTAAACTACAACAGAACAAAAATCTAGTAGTAATCTATGACAAGGGCGGGATTTGAAGCGGCATCTACAGCGTTGTGTAGTGTTCTTACCAAGCGAGTAAATAGATTTTTAAATTATATATTTATACTAATATATTTTTTAACTATTTATTTGTTTAAAGAGGTTTGAAAAAACGAATTTGGATGCAAAATAAATATTCTTAGCGGATGAAGTCGCTGCAAAAGCTAGTGTTATTTAAAACATGTGAAAAAATAATAAAGTTTTCAAAAGTACTATACAGTCTATAGTTTACGCGAGTAGTGCACATTTAAATAAAATTATTATATTAGGCCGAAGTTAAAAATACTTTTCAAATAAGTTTAACTAAAATATCGCGTTTTAAACCGTTAGTGTCTTATTTAAAAGAACTATACAGCTAAGTGTTTGAAATATGTATTTTTCTAGAACTGTGATCTTTATACGTTTCGCGTACAATGGGCAAGTGTAAACAAACGCGTGACGTCACGATGCGCTGCTGAAACGAGTGAAACTCGCGTATGACGAACTGAATAAATAACGTCGAGACATCCGTGAAAGTAGGAAAAGAATAAATGCCTCAATTAGTTAGAAAATGTGCATTTTAAGGTTCGACCTCCATATTTGAACGAAAAACTGTCTTAATATATTTAAATAAAACACTTTAACGATTTAAAACGCGATATATTAGTTAAACTTATTTGAAAATGATTTTTAACTTCGGCCCGACGTTTCGGATGCTTTGCAGCAGCCGTGGTCACGGGGAGACTAAAGATGGAGGATGTCTCTGACGTAAAAAATTGCTATGCTTTTCAAATAAGTTTCACTAATAGTAAAACTAATATATCGCGTTTTAAACCGTTAAAGTGTTTTATTTAAATAAGCATGGTGCTTTTGAAACCGTCTCCTACGCAAGAAGAGAGTGTCCTGTGTTACTATAATAAGTTGAACGAAAGAAATAATTGAAAGAGCACTATACAAAAATCCAAAACAGTTATGCAACAATGACACAACTAACTACTGACTCGGCTGGTGTAGAATTCGAACAATACATTACGAATCTATCAGGGCGAATAGTTGCATCGGCCGGCAACACAAAAGGCAACAATGCACCAGCTATTGCTATAACAAAAGCACTGTCGATAATGGCTAGACAGGTAGAGATTAGCGTGATAGATTATCTCTTCATATTTAGAATGGAATATATCGAAACGGCCACTAGAATTGGAAATGCCCACTTTTCAAAGTGGCTTAGGCCAATGTACAACATATAATTATTTCCTATTTATCTCGTAATAGATACTTAACAAAAATTTTATTGAAATTTGACGTGCTCGTCGGTGCAATGGTAGCAAATGGTAGCAAAAAAAAAGCAAAAAAAATTAGCAACGGCTAATAACCAACGGGTCGTGGGTTCGATGCCCGTCGGGTCCAATATGTTTCTGAAACATGTTGGACTTCGTCTGGAAATCTGGATATTAAATATTAGGTTGGTATACTGTCTATAGTTTACGCGAGTAGTACACGGTTTAAAACGCGATACATTAGTTAAACTTATTTGGAAATTATTTTTAACTTCGGCCCGACGTTTCGGATGCTTTGCAGCAGCCGTGGTCACGGGAAGACTCCCCGTGACCACGGCTTCAAATAAGTCATTTCTTAAAAACCATTTCCAAATAAGTTTAACTAATATATTGCGTTTTAAACCGTTAGTGTTTTATTTTAATAAGGTTGGTATGTCAAAAATTCCGTCCGGTTTACCACCGTTCGCTTATTTATTTATCCTTACTAATATTATAAATGCGAAAGTAACTCTGTCTGTTACTCTTTCACGCCAAAACTGCTGAACGGATTTGAATGAAATTTAGTATACAGATGGTCTAGACCCTGAGAATCGACAATTTTTATGTGGTTTAATATTTTAAAAGATCAACAGGCTCGTTAGCCTGTTATATATCCGTTCGAAATGATATTATAAAAGATAAATAATATTACGTTTAAATTTATAGCGTAAGAGCTCATAAAAATGTTATGATCGATGATCTAACGGTCGTAACGATGCTAATCAGAATTCGCTATTAACGTTTGCAAGCACAGAGCGCGTTTAGTAATAGTGAACGATTGCGATTATTACGCTGAAATTTCATATTTCTTAACCAGACCTGGTTAAAGAGAATTAAAATATTTCCTTAGTCATGATATTTAATAAAACATTAATATTTTGACACGTTATTGCACAAGATGGCAATATATAAATTAAATACGGTTTTAGATAGCAAAAAATTTGAGCAGCAACTGCTCAAAGCAACAGCATCAAACCCTGTGAATGCCGGTTGAAGTCCCGCCCCCGTCGTTTTATTAAATCTACAACCGTTTTGTCGTCGTCGTTATAAGATTGTAAAAGATAAACATACTACACTACCACAGACGTTTATTGAGAGAAGGTATACTTAAGTTGAATTCAAATATTCAGAAATGTATATAAGTAAATATATTGCATGTCATCAAAGAAATAGCACATATACAATGTCTGCACACGATGTAATATATAGTGAAATTAAATACTGTCTATAGTTTACGCGAGTAGTACACATTTAAATAAAACACTTTAACGGTTTAAAACGCGATATATTAGTTAAGCTTATTTGAAAATGATTTTAAACCAATATATCGCGTTTTAAACCGTTGAAGTGTTTTATTTAAATATTGAATTTAAAAAGTTACACTGACAAACTTTAAACCCACAACCGAATATGTATTGTGTATGTGGCTTAACAAATTTTATTTCTTCCTAATGTTCAAATAGATAATTATATGACTGAGAAATGTACTATTTGGCTAATTTTTAAAATGTACTTTAAGCATATCATTTAGATAGATTAGTCATTAGGTAGATTTTAAGGAACCCCAGACATGTAATATTCTATTACACATTTGCTAAACTATTTCAAATAAAAAATTTAAAAATTTTGCGGAATAACGCGGCTAGTGACGGCACGACCTTAGTTGGTCATTAGTGTATAATGATCATATTGTCTACATTGTACATGCATTTGTAACAAACATTTTAACAGTCATTGAAGTAATGAAATTAGTTATAAATTTATTTCCTTATTAATCCATAGAGTAGAACAGTTTCAAGACTGGGAAGTTGAGTCATAGAACTGTTTCACTAGCTCTCTTGGATTGTCAGATGGATCCAAAATTCTATTATTTCAATTATTTTTAAAAAGAAGTACACTTTGATGAACTGCTAAAACATGCTGCTGAATCATAGAATCTTTTTTCCGATTTCAGGTGGTATTACATCATTTTCACCAATGATAAACAACGCAGTGCATGTTATTATGTATAGTTACTACTTGCTGTCATCGGAAGGAAGCCCCAAAGTGAAGGCTTATCTTATTAGGTATAAAAGATGGATTACTATAATGCAAATGGTGAGTTATTCTAACTTCTTTTACACCTATAGTATTTTATTTATACATTTTATACTAACCACTGAGTAATACTTCTGAAAACATTTATAATGGAGAATGACTCTTTTATAGCTACTTCATAAGTCTAAGAGAAGTATGTAATTATATATTTCAGTTATAAACATAAAGAGTACTTCTTTTTGTAAATAAGTTATACTGTCCTCAAACTTCACAAAATGTATACTTATTCATAATCCTTGCATCTTATAGCTTGTACCATACCAGCTTAAAAAGGCTACATGTACATTTTTAAGCTATAAAACATAATATTGTTTTCAGGTACAATTCACATTCATGATAACATACAGTTCTCAAGTATTTCTGCCGAGTTGTAATGCACCACTAGGCATAACCATAATGTACTTTCCTAATGTAATATTTGTGTATTACATGTTTTATAAGTTTTATACAGAAAATTATGTAAAGAAATATAGGGACCAATAAATTTATAAGTATGGAGTGTGTATTATTGTTATATTGTATAAATATCCACTTAAGATCTCATTTCTAGATAAGTGCTGTTCAATGTTATCAATTATATTGAGTTAATGTAGTGTATATATCTACATTACATACACTAGACTAAATCTAAGAATAACTGTTTATTATGGGATATCAAAACATGTAAACACATCTTTAAAGAAAGCAGTCACAAGGAAAATTATCTAAAAAATACTACACACTGCTTATAAACTTTCTTAGATATAATTATTTGGATTCATGATACAGACAATAGACAAGACAAATATAAAGAATTCATTATAAAGTCAATTTATTGAGATGTGATGCAAATTATTGTTTGTTGTTTTTTTTTTACTGGCTTAGATCTATGGCTTAGAAAAAAATCGAAATAACCAGGAATGTTTAATGAAAACTTCCCAAAGCAATTGTTTAATACTGATTCTAGTGCACCAAAAACGATAAAACAACTTAAGATCAATAAAAATTTGAAAATCTTCAGTATTAAAAAAAAAACTGAAGTTGAATAAGTTTATCTGTTTTTATTACTTATATTTCTTTTATGAGTAATATGTGGTCAGTTACTTCAATCCTAAGAATTCGATATGTAAGCGGTGTTCGTGTCTAGAGATGGATATCATAAAAATAATAAAACAAACGTCACTCACTGTATAATAAGAGAGCAAGCCAGCATTCTCGTCCAGGACGAACCAGCGGTACTGCCAACCCTTCATTACATTTGTCCATTTGCTCAGTGATCCCTCCATCATTATATTGTACACAAAAATAAACTTAAAAAATCATCAAAATTAAAGACGAAGAATTTCACACTGCGACAACTACCCCGAATTCCATCACCGCACTAATCTATACGTTTGACAGTGACATTTCAATGTTGGTTGACTTCTGACATCTGTCCTTGAATGACGTGTACAGATAATAACATACTATTGTCATAAAATTGATAAAGTTAAAATTTAATCTGTACGCGAAACGACGGTAAGCAATAAAAAATATACAGTTATAGATACTAACTCCTACCTACATTTGTAGTACTTGTAGCTATGAACTATCTAATTTGCGTATTCTTTTGGACATGCTTAAGTGGTTTCCTATATTTATTGTAATATAGTTTGTTGTTTTCAATTAGAAATAAAACTAAACTTTTTACGATTGTTTTAATATAATACAACTTGATTATCACTTTTATTACAAAAGTTACATACCACTAATTACAAATCACGCCTTCATAATTTAGTAATGCTAACACTATTATACTATTTACAAAATATTCAGTCGCCAGTTGTCACATGGCTAAGTTTTGTTATGTCGGTCTTCTTAAATGTCTCCCTTTTTTCGTTTTACTATATCCTGATGTGATAGAAACTTGGCTGCCCGCTTTTTGATCTAAGCTTAATCCCGAAATATCTACAAATAATGGCACGTTTTCAGAACCGTCTGCTACTAGTTCGCTCTTTGAGTCTTTTTTGAAGTCTTCAGGCGTGCCTTCCCCTTCAATGGCAAGTTGTTCGATGTCTTTACTCAAGGAATTATTTTCAGCTGCTTCCACAAAAGCATTGGATAATTCTCCATTTAATTTGTTGACAGTACCCGATGAAATGTCGTACATAAAGATTTCTTTGTCCTCCTTAGGATCTTCGCTCCTGTACAGAAAATAGTAACACTTTAGTTTGATAACAGCGTTTTACGTATCGCGAATTACACTTAATGATCACGGTAACTTCAATTAATATCAAATTAGATTACATTAAGAAATAAGTAATTACAATATAAAAAATAGAAATTTAACTTACTCGGTCACTAAAAGAACAACTGATTGTTGATCCGTCTCTGTTTTCTTTTCAACGTCGAACCATTTCTGGAAATTGTCTCTGCTTGGTCGCTTCAAAAGATTTTGTAGACTGTCCCCTGCTACGAATTTAATACCTCTTAAACTATCGCTTGCAGCACGTTCTGATCTGTTATGGTCATTATTTATTGTCTCTGTCTCAACAGGGGCCAGAACAACCACTGATGTAACCTTTCTGCCCTTGACAATGTCTGGCAGAGGGAATTGATTTCCATTTACTTTTAATGGCAAGTATCTGTTATACTTTTTATCATTCAACGCCACAGGCTCTACTTGTGTTGCATCCTCTTTGACATAATCTTTAGCGACTTTTTGACCTTCCGCTGTGTCAGGGTTAAAATGCACGACCTTCATTTCAACGTTCTGATTTGGGTTAGGCGCAGCAACAACAGTTTCTACATCTTCTGATGCGGATGGTTCTTGATCGTCGATGTCGGAATCATCAATTCGTGATTCAATCCGATCTCCATTTGGAGCGACCACTATTGGTCTGTTTTCACTAGAGGCTATTTGTTGTCCACCGCCTGCACTGAAAAAGTTGGCCAGTTGATCTGGAGGCAAAGACTCTAATGGTGTTTCACCCACTTTGTCGTAGTCAAGGACACTGATATCAGCATTATCTAATATGCCGGATGATAGCAGTTGTTGACGTAGATCGTCTGGGACTTCATCTGGTAACTCAATGGTTGGTTTTTTCTTTGCCTCTTTCTTTGGTTCAGGAGTAGGACTTGATGTAGATGATACGTATCTTTGAGTAGATGGTTTGATTTCAACAGTTCGTGAACTTGTCTGGTAATATTGTGGCGACGGAGTGCTTGTTACATACGTTGGCTGAGGCCTCGACCTTTCCTGTACGTACTGTGAAGATGGCGAATTGCTTTGTAGTTGGGAGTACTGATTGTTTTCTTCATATTGGTTTCTTTGTTGTTGCTGTTGTAAATTTTGTTGCTGAATAATAAGTTGGTTTTGTAGGCGTTGGATTTCCTCTTGTTGTTTACGTACATTAAACGCTAATTGTTGCCTGACTTGTTCTTGTTCAGGACTAAGGTATTGTTGATTTTGATCCTGCTGTGGACTATTGTGTTGTTGTTGCTGCTGCTGATGTTGTTGTTGCTGCTGCAGGTGTTGTTGTTGCTGCTGCTGATGTTGTTGTTGTTGCTGCTGTTGCTGCTTGTGTTGATATTGTTGTTGTTGCTGTTGTCGTTGAAGTTCCTGTTGCTGTCGTAGTTCTTCTCCGCGTTCCTGCTGTTGTCGAAGGTCGTGTTGTTGTTGTATTTGAGCTTGTTGATAGAATTGTTGTGAAAATTGCTGTTGATAGCTAGGTGTAGATGCTGCTTGACTAAATCCATTAAATACACCATTTTGGCCCGAGTTTTCGTTTACAGTTATGTGTTGTTCATATTTTGATATAGCCGGAACTAACTCGCTGTCTTTTGGAATAAACTGAGCAACGTTTTGTTCATGAGCAATTTGTTGACCTTGAGGTCTTTCAGAAGGAGAACCGTGTTGCTGTTGAGGTGTAGGTGACGGCTGAGGGTGAAAACTGAAAAGAGGAGGTGAGGATGGTTGAGGCAAAAATTGAGTTTGAGGAGATGGGGAAGGAGAAATAGCATTCTGGCTTGTAAATATGTTATTATGAATACCATTCGAAGGGGCGGGTTGTGATGGCCTTAGTGTTTGAGGTCCTTGATGGAAACTAAACTGTTGTTGAGGCTGTCTCTGGAATGGACGATTTGACTCTATCTGAGGTGGGGATGGTTTTAAATTAAAGAACGGCGATCTCGTTGGAGTTACACCAAAACTTTGTTTGTTAGAACTTGTATCAAACTGTTGTAGAGGTCGTTGCAAAGGTAATTGTTGGTTGAACGGAATTATTGGCTGTGGACGATTTTGTTCATTAAAAACTATTGGATTCGAATTTGGCTTAGAAGCTAAATTGAATGATTGTTTGACGGGTTGTTTCGGGGAATCGATTTGATCTGTTGTTATGGTATGATAATTTTCTTGTAAGTATTTAGCTTCATCAAAGTAAGATTGGGGCTGTGGGTGGAAAGGTCTTTGTGGGCCAGCATGGAAAGTCGTCCTAGAAGGATTATGTATGTGCTGTCTTGTAGGAATTTGGGGAGAATTTGTGGGTCTAGAGTGGAACGCTGGTCTAGCTACAGTCGGAAGGATAGGACCTATTGGACCAGGAATTGGAGGTCTTGAGTTAAAGTGCCCTAAAGGTGGAGAATTAGAGAAAGCAGCTCGATTAGGGGCAGAAGGAAAAGAGCCTTGACTCGTTTGTTTGAAAGGAATCAGAGCGGGTCGTTGTCTTGGTAGTTGCGGCTCTTGGCTTAGATAAGGTTGTTGGAATTGGATTCGGCTTTGCGCATTGTGACTTGCGTGGTATGTCTGTGGGGCGATCCCTACTGGCCGCTGCTGATGTTCCTGATACTGAGGATTCGGTGATACAGAACGTTCCAGAGGAATTTGGGTTGGCTGCGCATTGGGTAACGCTATAACTGGCCTCGGTGCGGTTTCTTCGTGTTTTTCGGACGGATTTTCTTCTCGTCTGTTATACGTATAGTGTCGACCTTCGTTGCCAAAAGTGACCTTAACGTTACTGTCTGTGTGATATATTTCTGATTCTGGCTTAATAATAGCTCTTAATGTAGTCGTTTGTGCTGGTACATAATAGGGCTCAGGAGTGACAGTAACGTACTGTTCATGATGTTCATCTTCGTCGTTCGATGGTGGAGTTATAGCTGGTATGGGCTTTTCATAGATAACCTTGTCGTGGGAATGAGGATCTTTACTGTATTTGACGTAAAACACTTGAACGGGCTCCTTCTTTTTCTTCAAGACCGGCTGAGGCGGTGGCGCGGGGAGTGATTCGTTTGATTCCTTAATAATAATTTCGATAATTGGTTCCGGTGCTTCGTAGTAATGTTGGTTTTCGTTGCTGTACAGTGGCGCTGTCGGCAGGCTTCCATAGGGAGGTCCATAATCTTCACCGCTCTGGTCATTTACGTTAAGAATCTTCGATTGAGCTATATCGTTTCGGTTAACCACTGATTCTTCTAAATTATCGTGTTTTGGGTCGTATAGCGGATCCTTCTGCGAGTACTGCACGACCGGTTCCATCTGGACGGCATACGGCGGTAGCTTTCCACCTCTTTGTGATGCATTGGAGACTCTTCGGCTGCTCGATATGGATCTAAAGTGCGCAACCCTCGAATGCGGTAGCACTAGTGAATATTGTAGGTTCTGTGGTGTCCGGATGTTGTCCAACTGTCTTTTCGGTTTCGTTTTCGTGGTCGAGTTTTTAGCTTGTGACACGGTGAGCACAGCTACGGCTGTTACCTGGAAGAAGAGAAAAGCAAATAAGTTTTGCGCCATATCAATATTTTGTCAGCGACGACGTAACGTGACCAGTATTGTAAGTGGTGAAAGTACACAAAGGTAATGTTTACTCAGAATACGCTTGGCTCTTAACGTAAAACTACTGACGGACAAGCGTGACGGCATTTTTAAAAAGTAATAAAACAATTTACATGCGTTTAAAACTGCTACGTAACGCACATAAGTAATTGTTTTCTCGGTGTTTTTTATTTGCCTATTAGTTTTAATGCACAATTACTATTTATTACAACTTTATTTAAATATTAATCTTTCGGCCATTAAGAGAAAAAAACATTGATCATAATAGTTAGTCATTGACAGTTTAAATTTGCAGCTTGAAAGCATGGAAAATATTTTTAAATGTGTTAAAATAAAGATTTTCGTAAAGTAATATCTGTAGCGTACGCGGATACTACACATTTGCTTAACGCTTTGACATAAAACGCTCTTAACGGTTCAAAACACGAAATATATTACTTAACTTATTTTTAAAGCTAAAATAAGCAGCAAAGTCAAAATTTCATTTAACTGATAAATTTCGCGGCTTAAGTGGTTAAAATTTTATTTAAACGAAAAACTCGTTCTCAAAAGACGATAGTTTAAAAATCCGACATGATAATTATTACGTCACTCTCTAAGATTCGTTTCTTATGACTTTCTTCATTCCAATCATAGGGAGATAACTATAATTACATAAGAATAACTTTGAGTATCCCAATAAGAAAAGAAATGAACCGGAGTGGATTCAATTTATGGCAGGTAAGGCAGCGCCGACTGACCATAAAGGAATTCGTTTAATATCACTGGACAGAAGAAATACAATAAAAGAGTAGTATTATTTGATTTATTACCAGCTTACACCATGGCTGCTTATCTGTACGTTATTATGGGTTTAAAAGGCACAAAAAGTTATATTATATCATTCCACGTTGCTTCAGTATTTTTTTATAGAGGAGGACAGACAAGCATTAGGTTCATGGAATGGACGCTAAATAGGTTGTAGACCTATATCTAATTTATTTTGAAATAATAAATTTAGAACAAATAAATCATTACGGAAGCTTTACAGCAGCTTTGCCCCACAAGGGTTAAGCATTTAGAATAACACTATGTTAAATACTGTCTATAGTTTACGCGAGTAGTACACATTTAAATAAAACACATTAACTAAAATATATTAGTTAAACTTACTCTCTCCCCGTGACCACGGCTGCTGCAAAGCATCCGAAGCGTCGGGCCGAAGTTAAAAGTCATTTTCAAATAAATTTACCTAATATATCGCGTTTTAAACCGTTAAAGTGTTTTATTTTAATATTATATTTTTTGCGTTTCATACCGTTCAAAGAGTTCCATTAAATGTCACAATGAATCTTATCTATAATTCTTGAGGTAAAATAACTTTCGTATAGATTATGCAGGTACACTCCTGTTTCCTTCATTTATGTTTCAGAGATTGATTTTACCAAGTAACTACCTAATTGGACTTTTGTTGACTGCCAATAGAAAATCGAAACGGTTTTCCCAGGCATTCGAAGCCCCGACGCTCGCACTTAACGCAAACTTTGCAGCGCCTATAACCGTTCAGCTACAAGGTTGGTAGCAGTGATTCATAATTTTTCTTAAATATCATAGATATTCTGAAATCAGTTTTTTGGTGTTTGTTTTTGGTTTTATCTCTAAGGATTTTCCATTCTAAGGAATACAAATTGTTGCAAGAAGAATTCTAACAAAGAGTCAACTATCTCATTCATTATATAAGAATGGACAAGTCTTCAAGCATTTGTGTCAAGCATAACTTCAACTTTTAATTATTAAGTTTAAAAATCGGACATTCCATTCAAAAGATATCATGAAATTAAAATAAAAATACATGCCGGCGGCGGCCGCTACGCATTCATTCGACGATAGAGAGGCAGTGGGCTCCTTACGCAGTGGGCGCGAACGACATTGAATATTTCGAGTTTTTTTTTAACATTTTTATGCTTCACTTAAAAAGTCCTTTAATAGCTACTTAGTATTAGTATTATATTAGGAATCACACTTTGCATAATGTTTGTCAAAGTTCTTTTCAGAACTATCGCTTTGAAATTGAATCTTTTCTTTTGTATTATTATTAGTTTATTCTTAATTTCTCCGATTTAAAATAAACATCCTTCATAGCAATATGCCTAGAAGAAGAAGGACGCAGCTATCTAAGAATAGTTCCCAAGTGAGATTAGCAAAAGTTCGTCGTATTGGAGAGTCGTCATCCTAAAATGATCGTCTGGAAAGTGTTAAATTGTACGCGTCCCAATCGCAAGCCAGAAAATCTATCGTCGAATGTTCAGGTTCGTTTTGCAGAACAAAATGCAAGTTCTTCTCAGCGACTTGAAGGAAATAGAGCTAGGAATTCGCGAACGCTTGCACGGGATTCTAACACTGAACGCTCGCACGTTGTTAATAATTAGGACGCGCAATACAGTTTTTTTTAATTTAGTGATTCATGGTCGTTTTAATTAGCATGCTTATAATTTGAATATCTGTACATATTTATGTCTACCTGTGCGAAGCCGGGACAGGGCCGCTAGTTAACCATAAATTGCTTCCATTATACCAACCTGTTATTAATACTTACTAGCTTAGTCTTACTGAAAGAGACGCGTTGAACTCTTTTTGATGACTGAAGCCGAAACTTCGTGAGTTCTTCATCAGTGGGCGGTGGTCTGTGACCCGAATGGAATTTCAATATCCCTACCATACAATATATAATATACCGATATCAACACGAAGTCTAACATGTTTTAGAAAAATTATAAATTGATTAGAAAGATTTTGGTCCTGGTGTGACGAACCCACGACCCCCAGATAATGAATTAGACATTTAAATAAAGCACTTTAACGGTTTAAAACGCGATAGACAGACTTAGACATTGTTACCATTAGACCAACAAGACCGTCAAATTCTAGCACCTTAGGTTATAGACTAAATTAGTAAGAATTAACATATTGAAAGTGTAAAAGTAAATTCTTAACTATACCTAAAAGTTTCACCTCATTTTCTCTTCTTTCCCACAAATTCACATTCGAAAAACTATGTTTACATAACTAGATATATTTGAGTGAGTATATTAGCATATAATTAATTTGAGCCAATATATCACTAATTACAAGGTTATAATCGTTATAATCGTCTGCATAAATATACTTTGTAAAAACAGATATACATAGTGAGGCATTTTGGACCTTAGTCAATAGAAAATAAGAGACATAATTGCTAGTTAATATGTACAGACGCGTATATGAATGCATAAGTAAAAACTAATGATTTATGGTATCACCTATTGTTACCGTTTTTCTTCATGAGATGCAAATTTCTTTACGAGAATATGATAATGGTACTTATAGACTAACATCGTGTCATTTGTTGTCATTTCGAGTGCGTTCTAAGATGTTATATGAGCCTTCGAGCAAATCTGCGACGAGCGGGATTCGAACTTAAGACGTTCATTGTAATTGAGAAACAAACCTCTTTTTTACTATATTTTTCAGTCCTTTACTGCAATTTCTATCTTTATAGTTGAAAATTATAATTACAGTACATATATTTTTTTAATAATTTTTTCGCAAAGTTAAGCATTGTCTGTTATCGATGGGTACGTCGAACATAGTTAAAATATATTGTAAATAAGTTACTTAAATTTACCGTTTTTAACCGTTAAAAGTTTTATTTTAACTTCACAGACTTAAATTGACTGTATTTCCTAGTATGCAAGTCACAACAGGATGTTTTACTTCTCAATTTTAAAAACAGTCGAGTCCCGAAAAATGAATTATTCTTTCAAATTAAAACTGGTCTTTAATTATTATACTACGACGCAAGCAAAATATAACAATCAGCGGCAAATATTCACCGCAAAACATGAAAATAATCCGTTGTAACCGCTTCCGTCATTCGCACCTATTGTTAGAGTTTAATCGTAGTAATTATGAGCATTCACTTCTATCCGAATGCAAGATTATCATTGTAGATAACGGTTGATATTATTGTGATTCAATTAAATTTTACATAACTAAAAAAAAACTAAAAGGCTATGATTTTTACATGCATTTCTGTGTCTATTTCGTTAATTTGTTTATTTTTTAAATATAATATAGTTTATTCTCCATGAAATTTAAAAAATTGTTTGTCTGTCTGTTCGTCGTGATTCTACATAGTGTTCATAAGTACAACATAACAGATAAGAACACCCAAGAGACTCAGTCTGGCTTTTTCAACGTGTCTTATAAACTTTTGCGAATTTATTAACCTAAGGAGCAATTTATATCACTGCCGATTTTTTTCTCAACACTTGTTGTAAAGAATCTTGTTGCTCAAGCGATGTGATTTTTTTGTTTAAAGAGCTGATCAGACGACCTTGCGAAAGCATTACTTTCAAAAACCCGTGACATAGATACTTCATAATTTGATATGACCAAGTATAACATGACAAAGCTCAGATTTACGAATATTTTTAATGTAATTAGAAGCTCGGATTGCAAATAAGAACCAAGGTTAGGCCCACCTTTCATTTGTATTGGTAATCTATACTAATTATAAAGCTGAAGAGTTTTTTTTTATATTAAACTGCGACCACTGGGAGCGAAGCAACGAAAGGTAATGTTGAAATACGGGAAAAATTTATTCGTCTTTGAGGAACGCCGTCGCGTGCTAAAACAGTTCAAGAAACCAGAAATATGTTTAATAATCCCCCTTTGAATTATTAAAAAAAGATTCTGCGACAGTATGTAGTCTGTTTAACTTTTAAGATTAACTCGCAAGAACGACGGGACGGGGAAGATGTCGCGGGCACAACACACGTTTTTTCACACTTAACGAAATCGTTAGATGTTTTTTCAAGTAGAGGAGGGCAGACAAGCATGAAGTTCACTAACCATATCTATATTTTGGCGGTGGACATTCGGAATGTCTTATAAAATCAATATTTTAACTATTGAAATAATCTGGAATAGTCCTAGGA